AGCTCAGTGGCCAGCAGGTTCTCTCACTAAGCGCTACAATGTCTCTTTGTCATCTTCAAAACTGCCACCTCACTGTCCCTGTATCGTCCATTTTAACTAGTTCAAAGTTTCTTTATTGAAAGGATTCAGATCTGTTCAAAAAGAGGTATAAAACAAAAGATTAAGAAAATCCAATTTTGTCTCAGTATCTATTTAATCTCAGTTATCAGTTCTCTCAGGCTTTTAATTTAAATACATTTAATTCAAATCCATTCAGAATTTTTTTCTTTGTAATCCCCACAAGACTCACACCACAGCAGCTCTTAACACTCTCAAATGTCACCGTTCCCCAAATTAAATCCAAGATTCCCCTCTTACTTTAATTCCAAGCACTGATCTAGTCACTTTTCTTCACAGCCATATGCACCGATCTTCTCCCATTCTAACCTCCAGATCTTCTCTTTTTTTGGCTTCCCTATCTTCTTCCAATATCTTTGGCCACCATTAAATTCGCCACTCCGCCCACTCTTAGCTAGGGCTGGCTCTTAATGCTGGTTTTTTTTTCTGTTCAGTTCATTTTCGGCGCCCCTTTTCGTTTTACTCACTTTCAGGTTGTTAAGGCTATCAGTTTAGTATGCACCTTCATTCTGCTATTTCACCGATAGTATGACCAGCTGTCAGTTTCTGTGGATGGTCTGCCAATCAACCTTCCTTCATTTGCTCTATCCAGGTTCTCTCCACTCTCCCACATGAACTGCTGCCATCTTTTGACCCCAAAAGGTCCTGCAAAATGAAGTTTTGAAGATCATGCTTCGCAGAGACTCCTGCTCGCATGTCCCAGACAGCTGGCTCTGCCCCCCCAAAGTTCAGCTTTTAAGTTTCAAGGCAGATTGTGTTACTTCCAATGCTTGAAGCAAAACATCAAGCTTTTAATCTCTGCCTTGAACAGGCCCTTCTCTAGATCAGAAAGCAAGCGCTCTTGCAATTAAACAATGCTTGCAATATATGGGTTTCTATGTGACATATTCTCCATCATTCTGCTTTGTAGAAGGAAGAAAGCTGCTTAAAGGGCTATTTAGTCCAAATCCAGTTTTAAATAACAGAGCTATAAGAAGGGAGCACTTTTAGCATCTATTTGGCAAGTAAAGCATACTGTTTTTCAATATAACTGGATGCCCATTATATAGCTTTCTGAGGAGGCAAACTCAGTTGTTAATCAATGAAACTCTGAAGAGCAACGTGGAGTGATGCTTATGGCTTAGTTAAATAGATGGCCAGTAGGAAAGTGTAGAAAATATAGAAGATGATAGAAATATTTAAGAACCGTTAACTAGATAAAAGATACTGAAAAACTTTTTAAGCCCTAAGAAACAAAATAATATCTGTAGTGGCTCAAGCAGATGCTTTCCTTATTCACTGGAATATGAACCAGTTTGGTGTAGTGGTTAACCACCAGGCTAGAAAGTAGGAGACTGTGAGTTCTAGTCCCATCTTAGCCATGAAAGCAGTTGGGTGACTATGGGCCAAACCCTTTCTCTCACCTCACCTTACCTCACCGGGCTGCTGTTGTGGAGAAAATATGAGGAGGATGGTGTTTTGGTTACATTTGCTGCCTTGAGTTATTTATAAAAATAAAAAAGATGGAATACAAATATATAAAAAATAAGAGAGAAGAGAAGATACAACAGATTTGTACCTCAGATTTGCAAGAGTCTGTCATTATAACCAATATCAATAAAAGTAGTCCTGTATGGGGCCCCCAACCAAGAATAATATGCAACAATACTTCCAAGTTGAATATTTTATTGTTTCACAGATCTTGTCAAACGGAGGATTTTATTATCTGCATCTATAATATACTCTAAACTTTCAGGGAAGGGCTGTCTTCATTCTCTTTGCCTCACACATAATATTTGGTCTGAGTTGCTTCTTACCCCTCCCACCCCCTCTCATCTTGGAATCCATCTCCTCACTACATTCCATCACTTCTTCCTGCAGAGATGATTTCCTGTTGTAGTCTACCTGTTGGAATGACAGAAAGTGTGTGACAATATTATAACCACCAAAGTAAAAATATCAGTGAAAAGGACAGTTGCATAGGAAGCAGTAGCAGATCCTCTTCCCATTTCAGGAAGCCATGGCTTTAGTCAACTTGGTCTGTTTTTGGAGTTAGTACATCATGGCCATGTAAAAACAAAAAATGAAATGGTGGAAATTATAATATACCTTGAAGATGCTAACCATAAATTGCTCTGCTACTTATGATTCCGGGCATCATGCCTGGAAAGCTTGTAATCTAGGGATACACTGGAACAAGTTCATGCAAGGTGCAGGCATTCTTTGGTTTATTATCTAATTTTAGATTATACAATCGTTTTTTTTATAATTCAATTCATGCTATAGATAATGCCATTATTATTTTCCCAAAATATATTGTGTGGACTATGTCCATGAACATTGTATCTTGTATCAACAGCAACCATGAAATTATAAAAGAAAGAGTGGCAAGATCTAGGTCATATACAAGGCAGTTGTTAATCTTGCTGGAGGAAGAAAAACATGTGAACTGATTAAAGAGGAAAACAAAACAAAAGCAAAAAAGCTTTAATCAGTGTAACTGTCAAGCTAGTGCAACTCTAAAGTCCTTGGTTTAGACAGAAACATCACATAGACAAGAAATTTATTTCTGACTAAACATAAAGAACCCCACATTTTCTTTTCAAGTATATTTTATTTGAAAGCACAGCACAAAATATGTTCCTTTATTTGAAAGGAAAGATTCAGGCTGGGTATTTCTAAACATTTCCAGCTTTTCCAATTAGTTGACAAAATGTGAATTATTTTGGAGCTTTGTCCCTGTGGCTTGTCATGTCAGTTATTATATTGAAAAATTACTTATAAAAAGGCTTGACACTGAACTTTATAAATTGGTTCCAACTGACCTCGTCTCAATTATTTGCCATTCTAGCACATTGTTATGTGCCTTGTGAAACACTAGAAAAATCTGTAGCAAAAGACCTAGAATTTTATGTGCTTACAAATAAAGAATCTGCTTTAAATAAAGAAACCAACATGCTTGTTTCAAAGTCCATTTTCTCTCAGAATGTATAAGGATTGCTTTTTGTAGAATTCCTCATAAATGCTTCCATGTATTTTTCTTTTTAATTCAGTGAAAATGAACATTTAAACATTTGTAAATTATCCTTCTTTTCCCTGCAAAGTTTAAGCTAACAAAATTAATCTACAATTTCTAAATCTTCAGAATTCTATCTAAACTAATATTGTGGTTATATTATCAATCACTGTTTATTGTCTTTCTTTATTGTCTTCTACTGTTCTTTTCTTTGGTTTTCTTCCTTTAATTTTTCACTTTGAAGGAAATGTAAAGTTTAATTTCTGGATTTTTATTTGATCCAATTTCAGCTTTGTTTACCCTTTAATTCAAAACTACAATGATTATTGCTAACAATAGTAGTATAAAAAATACTATTCATAAATGTATTTATTCATAAAATGGGCTTTTGGTTGAACATCACCTTTACTTTTCATGAAATTGTATAACCATTATATTCACCTGCTCTGGTTCCTCTCACAGTTACTGTTTTTGAGCCAGGCCTTGCCTAATCTGTATTTATACCTTTGATTTTTCCTGCCTAAATGTAAAGTTTTGCTTTTCTCCACATTAACATTCGTTTTGTTGGATAGTGCCCATTGTTTAAGTTTGTCAATATCTTTTTGGATCCTGATTTTGTCTTCTGGGGTGTTGGCTATTTCTGCCAGCTTAATATCATCTATAAATTTGATGAGTTCTTCTTCTATTCTCTCATCTAAGTAATTTATAAAGATATTGAAGAGTACTGGGCCTAAGATGGAGCCTTGTGGTATCCCAATGCTTACTTCTCTTCATGTGGATGTAGTACCATTAAGAACTACTTGTTGAGTATGGTTTGTCAGCCAGTTACAAATCCATTTGGTGCTGATGTTGCCTATTCCACATTTTTCTAACTTATCAAGAAGTAGATTGTGGTCTACTTTGTCAAATGCCATACTGAAATCTAAGTATACTATGTCCACAGTATTTCACTGGTCTACTAATTTAGTGACTTTATTGAAGAATGAAATAAGATAGTTTTGGCAAGATCTGTGTTTAACAAACCTGTGCTGGGCTACTAGTTATAATTTTCTTTGCTTCCAGTTGTTCGCAGATCTGTTTTTTTAATTATCTTTTCCAGGATCTTCCCAGGTATTGATTATTTTGTAAATAATGATAGCAAAAGACTAAAATTTGAATGAAAAAAACCATGGGACCTGCACACATCATGCCAAATTCTAAGTTTCTGTTCTGCTAAAGTGTTTGTGTCATCTGCTTGGTATATTACAGTACTGAGAAGTTATAGCTCCTTTAATGTATTGTGCAAAATAATATATACACTCAAGCCTTTGTGGTTTGTGCTATATGTTTATTTTAAATCTTGTAGAATTCTGAAGCAACATGATATTAACTTCAACATGAAACAATATGTTATTAATTTCAGCATAATTCATATCCATAGATGGTTTCATATTGGATGATGCATTAGGACACACACATCAATGACTGTAACATATATAAAAAAGCCATGCTATCCCCAATTGGCTAGGTTTATGCACCATATTAAATAAAAATATGTTTGTGGTTCATCATGTCATGTCAGTCTTCGTGGTTTGTTTACCCATGATTCATTCATAAACTATACCTTGTTGAGATCATATAATGTTCTAATCCATTAATCAAACCACGTCCTAATACAATGAATATACCAAATCTATAAAATACAGTGAGAATGACCCCAGAATTAAAAAGAAGTTTCAGAAATAGAAATGAAAATTAGACTATGTAACTAAAAATTATACAGATTCAGCAGTAGAACTGATTATAATTAAGGTGTTTTTTAAAAATGCAGAAAATACTACTTTTGTCTAAGTCCATTTATTTATGAAACACTTTTTAATGATATTTTATATTTATGTTTTTTTCTCAGACGGCTTGATGCTAACCATATTAGCTTCATACCTTCCAACTGTTTCAGCGGCTTGGTGTCACTTAGATATCTGTGGCTAGATGATAACTCTTTGACCGAAATTCCAGTGCAAGCTTTGAGAAGTTTGCCAGCACTTCAGGCAATGACACTTGCACTCAACAAAATCTACTACATTCCAGATTATGCTTTTGGAAATCTCTCCAATTTAGTAGTGCTGTAAGTTTGTATTTGATTTTAGACATAAAATTTAATTAATTTTTAAGAGCTTCAACTGCTGTCTTCAGGAAAGTACGTGTTTAATATACACCTGTTTTTTTTTTAGTAGAGCAGCAAATATTTAAGCCCAAAACCTGGTTAATGAAGCTAATTGAATGTTAATATGAGGGAAAAGAATCTGAAGCTGAAAATACTGCTGTTTATTTTTGTATATTTTATTTTGGCCATCTGTAGAGTATGAATAAAGTGTTTATAAATAAACTTTATTGCCAGTTTAATCCTGAGATTAGTTGCATTTGAAAGTAAATATCTTGTTAAAATGATGCGTGCATCAATATGGAGCTCTGTTATTGGCTGCACAGGCCTCTGAAGGCCTGAAGGCCTCTGACAGCAAAACAGAGGCTGGGGCAATGCACACAAGTAGCAACAAGCAGTTGCAGAAGTAGGCCAGCAGCAAGCTTCAGCTAGGCGGGGCTGTTGGTGCTGTCACTGCGAGGCGAGTCAGTGGAAGATGCCCCCTGAAAATAAGACCTGGTGCCATTTTAGATGGCAAAAAAATATATATGACTGGGTCTTATTTTTGGGAAAACATGGTATTTTCTTGAAGTGGTGATCAGCAAATAAAAACTCACATATTTTAGGCATCTAGTATGAGCAGATGATGTGCTAGAAAATATTTTACATTGACAAACTTAAAAAATATATTAAAGGACATTAGATAAATTGCATAGAGAGGAAGATAGAGATTACTGAAATTTTACTGTAGATAAGTCATGTAAGCATTTGTACACAGAATGGGATTTGGTCCTGACTCAAGAGCACCTAAATTAATTTTGTAAAGAACAAGAAAGCACCTAATCATATGTTGAAGTAAGAAAAAAACATGAACAATATGAGAAGAGAAGTCACAAAAAATAGAAATTGTTTATAACCGGATAGAGAGGGGAAAACCTCCTCAAAAAAGGAAAAGTCCAGAGAGAAAAAACAAAAATCTCTCCACTGCCCAAAAAAGAATGATTTATGGATGGGTGCTCAAAAGATGCAGCAAAAAGAGGTAAAGGGCAGGTCGAAAGGAATATTTAGTGGGCACAAAAACATAATAAAAAACAATAAGTTTTCCAAGAGAACAATAAGTTTCCAAGAGAGAGAGAGAAAAAGATGATTGAGAAGCTAACAGATGATGGAACTCCAAAGAGACCAAAAGATGATGGATAGCGATAAAACACATTAGCAAAAACAGAAAAGTAGAAAATATAAACAGGGAAAACAGTAACATACAGTATATACTAATAGCAAATAGAATTTACTCCATTTAAAAATAAGTTAAGTGTAGAAGGTGGAAATTTAGGATTAGGGAATTTAACGGTATTATTAATATTAACAGTGTGTTAAAATATACTGTGAATTATAAACTTTTAAGGATTAGAAATTGTGGGGAGTGGGAGATATAAATCTGGAATCGATTGAATACTGTTAATATTTGGATCGGTTAGTAGTGTTGGATATTTGGAATATTGAAAGCAGGGTGAAAAAATAAGTAATTTTTAAAATATCAAATGCAAGATAAGGGATAATAAATAATGGCAAAAATAAATGTCATGTATGCTTAAATGAATCAATGGGAAAAATAAGAAAGAATAGAAATAAGAAGGGAACAACAATACACATATTTTAATATAACAAGATCTATGCAATAACAAGAGGGAGGTTTAGAAATTGAATGGTGATAATATTAGATATGTTTAAATAACATGGAACAATTAAAATGAAATGTAATAACCATGAGTTACAAGATTATGTATATTTGTACTAAATGCATGATACCCAGTTATCACACTGTTCATACACTGATATGTATAAGTAATATAAAATAAAAAACTTGACTACGAAATAAAAATTGTTCATTTAAGCAGATTAAGCAGTGCAAATGAAAATGCAAATAGAGGCACAATTGGTAACATATATTCTACACTATTCAAATGTTCATAAAAATTACTTTCACAAACGATGGGAGAGCAGGAGTAACTATTAAAATGTTTTCCTTTGCTTTAGTTTACTATACATATTTTTTTTTCTCATATTCTTAATGGTCTGCTTCAGGCATCTTCATAACAATAGAATCAACTTCTTGGGAAAGAAATGCTTCAATGGCCTCCATAGCCTAGAGACTTTGTGAGTTCAGCTTTTATATGCTTTTTCCAATGTTTCCACTGACATTCTGCAGATCTTTTTTTAAAGCCTAAATGCAGATTTAAAGACGTTATTGATGTTGACTCTATAGTTAAATTTTTAGGATGTAATCCAGTCCACACTTAAATGAAAGCCAGTTTTCCTTATTTTATTTTCCTTTAATTTATAGCATTGCAGTGCTATATATTAACTTTTTTATTTTGTAGACAATGGGCATTTGAAAAGGCTAATGGATATACATTAAGAGAATAATTGATATCTCACTGTGACTAATTAAATTCTTGATCAATCTTTGAAAAAATATGCCCAAATTAAACTATAGTTTTGTTTCTATTTGCAAAAACAGCTTTTACTTATGTAGTTAAAATTGCAAATGCTAGCAGTGTCTACTATCATGGTGTGATTTTCCCCCCAAAAAAACCCCACAATTTTCTTATTTTTCCTGTAAGATTAATTTAGTAAATGACATGAACTGTAAAGATGATAGAGTATAACTGATCAACTTAGTAAAAAATCTAAAGTTCTAAAGATCTAAAGTTAATGAGAGCAGATTAATCAAGCAGAATATAACAAATAAAATATTAAGTAAATGTAAATATCTATTATATTTATAAAAATTCATTAATGGGCATGGATCAAGTCTACTTGAGGAAGCATCTCACCCCAATGGGACTGGCCCATCCCACCCACAATGGCAGAGGGGGCACATTGTGAATCCTGAAAATTCCTTTCAGCTGGTGGATTCAAGGAGAAGAATTCTTCCGTGGCTCCTGCCCCTTGGAACATCTTATCCCATGAGGTGAAACTGGCTCCCACCCTCCTAACATTCTGCAGGAACCTTAAGACCTGACTTTTCCAGATGGCTTGGGGACCCAATAGGAAAGCTTCATACTGGAGGTGGTTGATTAATTAAAGTTTAACCCCTCTCCCCACCGCAGGTGTTCAGCTCCCCTCTTTGCCAGATAATGTGTCCATAATTTTATCTGCTGTGTTTTTATTATAGATGATATTAATGTTTTTATATTGTAAGCCACCCAGAGTCATTGGGTACAGGATGTTACACTTGTGTTGCACTTTTAGATTTATACATTTATAGAACCTCATTAAATAAATAAAGTTCTACAAATGTATAAATCTAAAAGTGCAACACAAAACAGGTAAGGTCTTTTCCTTTTAAGTATGAAAATTAGTAGTGTCTAATGTGAGGTGGATTTTTTTTTCCCAATTCAGAGATTTAAATTACAACAATCTGAATGAATTTCCCACTTCTGTCAATGTCCTCAGAAACCTGAAAGAACTGTGAGTACAGAATTTTGGTCTTCAGCTCCTCAGTTTCCAGTGTTCATTTTGATTCATTTAAGTCCTGACATATTTCTCATTGCAGTTCAAAAATCACTGCCTATTTTTCAGAATATACATTTCATTTTGTAGACATTGTTTTTTTTTTCAACTTGGTAATTCTAGTTGTCCAAAATGAAAATGCAGGAATAAATTATAAAAAAGCAGCATATTCAAACATGTTGCTGTGGCTGTCTGTAATAGTGGAGTATTTTATACTGTGCTAATACAATTTTAGAATTATAATGCAATATACTTGCAAATGTTAGATTATTATTAAATATTAAAGTCTTGAAATAAGTGCATTAAAATAATATAAGTAGATTAAACAGTAAAAACATCATTTCTATAGAAATTTACATTATTAAGCATATTTGTTTCTCTATAACAGTTTGTAGTTTAAAAGATAAATTATTTTTGCCAACTGAATCTGTTTTCTAATATCCAAAACTGGGATGGCCAAAATTAGTTCACCAACCTCTTCTTCCCAGGGGTGGGATTCAAATTTTTTAACAACTGATTCTGTCATGTGGCTTGGTGGGCGTGGCTTGGTGGGCATGTGACTGGATGGGCATGGCTTGGTGGTCATGTAACTGGGTGGGCGTGGCTTGGTGGTCATGTGACTTGGTGAGGCACCAAATAACCCAGATGTCTTCTGCTAGAGACAGTGGGTTGGACTAGATGACTTCTGAGGTCTCTTCCAGCCCTGGATTGCTGTGCTGTTTCAAGGCACCCATGGAAAGAGTAAACATAGTATTTCCATTAGTCTAATTGTGTGTTACTGGCAATGCTTACAAAGTCTCTGCTGTGGAAGGACCTGAGTTTGAGATTGTTGAAATAACATTGTCCATGTTTTTTTCATTCACACAATCTGTTAAGTGGGAAATAGTTTAAATAGCTATACACTTCCACACACATACATACTGAGGGAGTATAAAAGAGAAAAATGCATGTTTGTGAGATTAGAAAGGAAAAAAGATGGTAAATTTGTCTAAGTGAAAAACAAAACATCTTGGGTAAAACTTGATCTTTATTAATATTGTGTAAGTCAATAGGAAGTTAATAGGAAACTGATAATGATAGACATTTAAAAATATATATGCAAGTGCCAACAGCCTTCCACTTCATTTTTCATTTTCACTTTGTTTTCCTACAGTTATATTTGTTGTGGTTCCTTATGCAATCAATTTCCAAAAAACAGCCATTATATAGTCACTAATAATAGCAGCCGAAACAATGAAACAAGTTTAGCAAAGCATGCAATATTTTATTTTCAACTTGAGTGACTTCATTTGTACCTCAGTGGAAAAACAAATATTTCCCATGTGATCATTATTATTGTTGTTAAAACTTTAGTGTTTTGTTCTTGTACTAGATTATTATGCAAGCAAATAATATACTTCATTTATTTGGAAGCTTTATTGCTTGGTTTGGTTGTGGTTATTGGGGGAGAAGTAATAATGTCATAAGTAAATTAATTTACACAGATTATTAAAAATATGAAAGAATTGAAAAAATGACACTATTGCTAAACATTACTTAAATCTAAGCATTCATTTATTGATTTTATCAGATGGTAGCCTCTGACTCTGCTGGGAAGCTAAGCAGGGTTGGGCCTGTTTAGAATTTGGATGGAATACATCTTGGAATACCAGAGTTTCAAATGTACCAGAGTATATTGAAAGTAAAATGAAAATAAAAACCATTTAAGAAGATGTATTTGTAAATCAATTCAATTTCACAAAAGAGGTGTATAAGTGTATCCATGAACTCACCAGGAACCAAATTTGATTCAAAGGAGATTTTACTTTATCCCTATAGTATTTGGAGGATCTTAGTGAGAACTAAAAATATCCTATATTGTGATAGTTGGTACCTTTCTATAGAAGCTAATTTATTTAGAATAACTGTCTTTGGGTAACTCTAAAGAATTTTTTGTTTCTATGTACTGTGGGCATGTACTCTATTTCTGTTATTTTCTATCTAGAGGATTTCATAATAATAACATAAGGTCAATACCTGAACAGGCATTTATGGGCAATCCATCACTTACAGCAATGTAAGTTATAAAAGTTTACTTTTTCTAGAAAATGTTTTTATTTCTTTTTCTATTAATTATTTTATTTCATTATAGATTAGTTTTTTAGTATTTTGTATGATACAACAATGTTTCTCAAATGTTATTAAATTCCAGCTCATATATATATATATAAATGGCATTCAGCTTTGTTTGGGTATTTTCCCACATCATTGGGAAAACAGAGAAGCTTACTCTGAGAAGGACAGAGCAGAGGACACAAGCCTGAAGAAGATGATGAATGAGACTTCATCGAAACGTTGCCTAGATACTGCCAATCTTATGCGGGAGAAAACCCAAATAACCAAAGATCCACATACAAATACCCGCGAGAACCTCAGAAAACAAATATATATATATATATATATATATATATATATATATATATATATATATATATATATATACACATACATACATACATACATACATACACACACATACATACATACACACACATACATACATACACACACACACACACACACACACACACACACGTTGGATTGCTCCTGCCTGGTTTCAAATTCCTTGTCCAATAAAACAAACACAAACCAAAGGAAACAGAAACCTTTTAATGATTCTTATGAATCCCCAGTTAAAAGACTGCTGCAAACTAACTTTGATAAGCATGAGCTCACCAGAACTGTGCGAGGCAGCCAAAAATAACAGATAAGTTTACCTAGAAATATTTTACAACACAAGAGTCTTCAAATACCAACTAAGATATTGCAATGTCCATGAGACTTGAGCTTCAAAACATCTTTGCTTCCTGCAAAGAACATCCAATTCACAGCTGGCTTTTATCTTCTTGAAGGAGGGGCCATTACCTTGTAGCCTTACTCCCAAGTCACCCATGCTACTGCAACTTCTCTTACCTATGAGCAGCCCTGCACTCACGTGCACTTGGCACAGGCTCCTTGGGAACCTCCTCATCGCTGCTGCCAGCCCACACAATTTCTGAAGACAGCAGTCCACTTCCTAATGGTCCTGGCCCCTCATCTGAGTTCTCGCTCTCCTCAACCGTCCGCACTTACTGCCAGCTAACCAGAACAAAGGCAGAAGTTTGCTATGAAGCTGTGGCAGAGTGTTGCACTGGGAGGACTCCTCAAGTATCAATAACATTGAGTTGTTGTCTTGCTCCAGTAAGAGGTGTGCAGGCTGGGGACTTGGCACCCAGGGCAGGGGCGCAGGGCTGAGGAGGGGCATTGTCCAAAGGCAATGGCAGGTCAGGTGCTCAGGAGAACATACATCTGGGCCAAGTTGCCCTGCACCAGGCAGGAGCAGCCCAGCAGGGTGGCCAAGAGCACTGTAGGCAGGAGGGCGAAGAGCCCCCATGAGGCCAGCAGAAGCAGCAGGTATAGCAGGCCTAGCAGCTGGGCAGAGGCATGGTGGGGCAGCTGATCCCAATGTGCCACATGGCCTTCTACCTTGTCATAGCAGCAGCCTGAACAAGACCCAAGCTCTAGAGTCCAGGAACAGCAGGGCCAGGAGTCAGGTTGAAAAAATAAGACACCCCCAAAATAAACCCTAGTGCTTATTTTCAAACCCAAAATAAAATAAGACTGGGTCTTATTTTTGGAAACACGATATTGTATCTTTAATCTGAATCTACTCATTAGCGCCATCTGCCATTTTATAGTTTCCATATTCCTTAATTTGATAAGCCATTCTATATTAGTCTTACACATTGCTCAGCTGATGTGTAACAATTACATTTGTTACACATTTAACAATGTGTAACAATTACATTTGTTAATTCCTGAAGTTCCAGAGAGGCCTAATGAGCATAAGCTTTCTGTTGGCATATATCTATATAATACCCTTTTACATTGAACTTAATTTTGAGAGCAAAATTTCTTACATAACTGTAACATATTTTATTTTACTAAGCTAGAATGTGCATAAACTTTTTGATCCCCAGATTGCATTTTCTTATTGGCTGTTTTCTCATATCAGTATATTAACAGAAAGAATTGATTATTTGGATTCATTCAAACTGGTGTTCAACACAATAAAGTCATTTGAATTCTGGGCAAAAAATGTTATCTGTTTCATAGACAGTTATATTTCTTGCCTCTATTTTCTATTCCTGTGGAGGCAAGAGAAATCTTTAAAAGATGCCTAGCAGTAGTTTAGAGGGGGGGAAAAACTTAACCTAGATTAAGATTTTGGACTTAAAGATAAGGAGAGATGTTTGCTCAGTTTTATTTAAAAATGATTTAGCATGTATAATTTGGGGAGCAAATAGTTCTGGAGATAAGCATTCAATAAAAAGATTGCAGGCAAAAAAATTGCACAAATCCTTTTATGAGAATATCCAGTAAATTGCATCAGACTTTGAAGATTTAAATCTTACAGTGATGAATTTATTTTCTTCACAGCCATTTTTATGATAATCCTATCCAGACTGTGGGAAAGTCTGCTTTTCACCATTTACCTGAACTCAGAACCCTGTATGTATTTGCACCTTTAAAAGCACTTTAGTTCCAAACAAAAATTCTTTCACTTCTTAAACCACAACATTAATACATTGTGTTCATAATTATAGAACATTAAATGGTGTTTCAGAGATGACAGACTTTCCTGATTTGACTGGGACAACAAACCTGGAAAGCTTGTAAGTATTAGATCTATGGTTTGTTTTTTTAAAAATAGATGGTAGCAATTATTTTAGATGTCCAGTTTTTGTTACAATACTGTAACATCATATGTCAGTTTTTGTGAAGACGTATGTGTGTCGACTAGAAACCTGTGAATATACAGTAACAATAAACCATGGTTCACAGCTAATCTTAAACAGCTACGTCGTACCAAAGAGGAATCCTACAGAAAAGGTGATAGAATGCTGTACAATCAGGCCAGAAATGTATTAACAAGGGAGATCAGAGCAACAAAAAGAAGCTACTCTAAAAAGCTAAAGAATCAGTTCTCAACGAATGAACCAGCAAACATATGGAAAACTCTTTAAAATATCACTGGTTACAGCAAACCTCCTTCCCATGCCAAAGGAAATCAATAACTGGCAGATGACCTAAATGTGTTTTACTGTAGGTTTGAGAGAAAACTACTGCCACCTATCTCCACAATCCCCACCCCAGACACACCAACAAAAGCGAAGCCTCCTACAACTGACCCCAACCCATTGAGCCCATCACCTCTGGTGATTACAGAAAATGAGGTGCCAGGTCTATTTCACAGACAAAAGCCAGGAAAAGCACCAGGACCAGACAAGATAACTCCTTCTTGCTTAAAAGCTTGTGCTGACTAACTGGCCACCATCTTCACCCTCATCGTTAATAAATCACTAGAAATGTGCTATGTTCCTTCTTGCTTCAAACACTCTACTCTCATCCCAGTGCCAATAAATCTTCCATCAAGGAATGGAATGACTTCAAACCGGTTGCTCTAACATCTGTAAGTTATGAAAACATTTGAAAGGCTAGTTCTGGCTCGCGGATCCGCTGTTAGACCCTTTGTAATTTGCCTACTGAGCAAATAGATCGACAGATGATGTTGTTAATATGATTCTGCAATACATCCTGCAACATCTTGATTCTCCAAAGATCTATGCGAGGATCCTCTTTGTAGACTTCACCTCAGCATTCAATACCATCATTCTAGATATTCTTCTAACTAAACTAAATCAGCTAGCTGTACCTGACCACACTTGTAAATGGATCATAAGCTTCCTAACAGACAGAAAGCAGCAGGTGAAGCTAGGCAAAATCACATCAGATACCTGTACAATTAGCACAGGAGTCCCTCAGGGCTCCTCTCTATACACTAATGACTGCATCTCAAAAGACCTTTCTGTTAAAGTACTGAAATTTGCAGATGATACAACAGTGATTGGTCTCATTTGAGATGACGAATCGGTATACAGACAGGAAGTTGAATAACTAGCCTTGTGGTGCAACCAGAACAATCTTGAACTAAACATACTCAAAACCGCAGAAATAGTGGTAGATTTTAGGAGAAACCCTCCTAAACATTGCCTTTTACAGTACTAGACAACACAGTATCAATAGGAGAGACCCTCAAGTTTCTAGGTTTTATCATATCTCAAGACTTAAAATGGACACCTAACATCAAAAACATCATAGCACAACAAATAATGTTCTTTCTGTGCCAACTCAGAAAGCTCAAATTGCCCAAGGAGCAAGACAGACACAAACTTCAATGGATAATTAGAACTTCAGAAAAAACAATTGCTACCAACCTGCCTTCCATTGAGGATCTGTATACTGCACAAGTCAAAAAGAGCACTGTGAAAATATCTATAGACCTCTCACATCCTGGACATAAATTATTTCAACTTCTAGGATGCTATAGGGCACTGCATACTAGAACAACTAGACACAAGGACACATTTTTTTTCCAAATGGCATCACTCTGCTAAACAGCTAATTCCCACAACACTGTCAAACTATTTACTAAGACTGTATTACTATTATTCTTCTCATCCTTCCTAGTACCTATCTCCTCCCACTTATGACTATAACTATGTTGCCTGTATCTTTACATTTTACATTGTTTTGGTTCCCAGCATGATTTGATTGCTTATTAATAATTAATGACTCTTGATGAATGTTTTTTTTTCCTTTTCATGTACACTAAGAGCATATGCACCAAATCATACTTGGCTAATAAAGAATTCTATTCTATTCTATTCTATTCTATTCTATTCTATTCTATTCTATTCTATTCTATTCTATTCTATTCTATTC